AACCGTGGCCCTCAGGCATCCCAAGCCAGTTCTTAACCATCGCGCCACTTGGCCGGCCCAAGACATCACTTTTCACGGTGTAAAATATGTCAACTCAGTTGTCTGTATCTTGAGAAGCAGAGGTTGAGTATACAAAAATAATTTATATTTGTCTTTGGGACACTTTTGCCCTTAAATTTGAATATGGGTGAGTCCAATGTCTAGGGACTTCAGGTCAAAATATTGAAACTATATAATAAAGATCTTAAATCAGGAAGCTGATAAGTTTAATTATTCTACTTTTTTTTTTCCTTTTATTGTAGTTGCTCTCCCAGTCTGAAGGAAGCAAGTTAAGCTGAGCTCCATTCCTCTTTGGTAGGTTAGAATATTGAACACACATGTTAAATCATGGGTCTGGAAGAATTCAGTAGCAAATTAGAAGCTGCTGAAATAAGGATTTTTAGATCCCGATTAGGTTATGTGATTAGGCTTGAAAGAAAGAAAGAAATGCAGGAAACAAAAAAGGAGGATAGATTGTATCATAGAAAAAATGTTTAGAGAAAATACTGCAGAAATTCTGTAAAGAGAACAGGGAACGACATCTGGCCAAGCATTATACTAGCTTAGAATACACCTACCAAGTTCTGCATATTGTATGCCATTGGGGGGAGAGGTACATTGGAGAAAGAAACGAAATAATAAGCTAATGAAGTAAAAACTAGTGTTTTCTAAAATTAGGGCATTTCTTGTGTCCTGGTATATAAGAATTGCATATGAGAATATACATGATATTTAAAAACAAACACTCTTTGCATCATTTGAATAATTTTTTATCATCTACATCTTTTATCTACTACCCAACAGCAACAAACTTGAAAATACACATCCTGAGTTTGAACATATGTAGAATTTAACAGTAACAGCAAATGCTTCTCCTAGTGATAAGTGTCACTCTACCTAGCTAGCTTAGCTTGCCACAAAATTTCTAAATTGAAAGACAGCATGCTTTGTTTACTGTCTGCCGGTAGACTGTACATGCCTTGAGGCCAATTTTTGTGTCATAGTTCTTTATATCTAGGAATTGATATAAAGGCTCTAGGAAAACATTTTGCACATAATAGGTGCACCGTTTTTGAATGAATGAAGGCATGGATACTGAATGCATGAATATCTCTGGTTAAGTATCGATGACCCAAATAACAAGAACACAGCAATCTGATTATTTCAGCCATTTTAATGTCCCACCAAATTGCCTCTTCCATGTTGACTATATGATCTGCAGGGCACAGTTAGGGCTATTGCAATTTCTTTTACTTATACTCCACCTTGTTTACAAAAAAGTATTTAGATGGCACCAAAATTGCTCTATTGATTGGGCCACTCTGGTGGGTATTTTTTGGTTTTGTTTTGTATGTTTGGTTTGTTCTTTCATAGTGGTTCATGTTTTGGTAAAAACATTCTTTGCTTCTGCAGATGTACTGATCTCACTGAACTACACCATACCATCTTTGTTGTAAAAATATGACATGGGATAGTCCTTAATATTTCTAATTATATTTTAATAAAGGGGATTGATTTAATGATGTGTAGCTAGCTAGGCTTTTAAAAGAGGACTCTCTTTTTTCCATTTCTTAATCCTATAGATAACCTTTCAGGAAGCTAATATTTAGCAATAATATTAATAGCTAACATTCATTTAATACTTACTATCTTCCTGACACTGTGATTGACTCTTTTTTTTTTAAAGATTTTATTGGGGAATCAGGAAGGGGAACAGATAAGTTGCTGTCCTTTTGTTCTTCAGTCTAGTTGTGGAGAATGTTACTTCACTGGCCCATGTTGGTATTATCATTGTGCTCCTCCCGGGTGAGGCAGTCGCTCGCTGGCCATTGGATGGTGGCTCACAGCAGCTCATGAAAGCACACTCCAGCTGCAGGTCAGCCCCACTGCAGCCTGCGCTGTCGCCAGCGACTCACCGCAGCCCAGCTCCAATTTGAGCTGTTGTTTACCATTTTAGCTGTAGAGAGTGCAGCATCACTGGCCCTCATGTGGGATCCAAACTGGGGTCCTGCTGCTCAGAGCTGACATCCCAAGCCAACTCTTAACCAACATGCCACTTGGCCAGCCCTGTGATTGACTCTTTAAATGCCTTATTTATTTTTCTCTTAAAAGCCTTAATGTGTGTACACATAATTTCATATAAGTTTATAAAATTTATATAAATTTTATACATTTATAAGTATGATTATACCATACATGGTGGGAAGAGCAAGAGGTTGTGTGTGCTTTGTTTTCACCTTAAAGCAAGAAAGAGGAACTTAGGGAAAACATTTAAAGAGTTAAAATTGTGTTCCCTGCAGTTTAGGGGGCACAGAACTATATCTGAAAAATCTCAAGGATGAGAGCTTAGAGGAAGTGGCCCATGGCTGTAATTTGGGAAATAGCTTCCCTTTTAGAGTCTGTCACAGCAAAAGAGTTATGATGTTCTCCAAAGATCAGACCTGGGTAGATAATGTGGGAGAAAGTCAACCTGGGTTTGTTTTAGTTCCTGTCCAAGAGGAACTAAGTAGAAGGGGGCCAAAAGTGGGCCACCAAATACCTCATGATATGGAAGAAATCACAAATGACTAGCTGGAATAGAGATGGATTTGAAATACCCAACAGTGATGGTGGTGGTGGTGGTGGTGGTCACGGTGGTGGTGGTCATGGTGGTGATGGTGGTGGTGGTGGTGATGGTGGTGGTGGTGGTGATGGTGGTCGTGGTGGTGGTCAGGTTTGCAGGATAACTCAGATATCCTCTAGGAGAGAAAGGACCATCTGCCAAGTCTAAAGAAGCCAATAGCAGCAAGCATCATCATCAGTTAAGTAAGTTTTACTGTCCTGCCCTCCTCTTCTCTCTGTACACTGGCATTGGAGAGTTATAAAACTGGGGGAGAAGCAGTCGAAATGCAATGAAAAGGAAGAGAAGTGAATCATACTCCCTTTCTTGACTTCTGGCTTCTGTGAATGCAGGCTTCTCTGGGTGCAGCAAATCTGAGACAGATGCGTGGAAGAGAAGCCTAAAATATAAATGAAGTTTATAATTTCAATTCTTACTTACATGAGAATGGAATTTTTTTGGTTTGCTCCTACGTTTTTTTAATTTATCATTTTTTATTGAGATATAATTGACAGATAACATTATAGTGTTAGTTTCAGGTGTACAACATAATGATTTGATGTATGTGTATATTTCAAGATGATAACCACAATAAATCTAGTTAACATCCATCATCACACAGTTATAATTTTTTCTTGTGATAAGAACTTTTAAGATCTACTCTCTTAGCAACTTTCAAACATACAATACAGTATTATTATCTATAGTCACCACGCTGCATATTATGTTCCAGGAGTGCCATCCTGTTTTTATTCGTTTCTAGATCTACGTCAACAAAAGTTTCTTGTTATAAATAAGGAAACTCCCAGTGGCTTCAGTCACTTCCATACTTTTTCTTCAAATAAATATTTACCTTAAAAGTCACTTTTTGACATTTCCTTCTTTATCTTTCATGGAAATATAGTTAGATTATAATATTGTTAGATTATGACTAGTTAGAAATATAAATTGTATACTAGCTTTTAAACCAGTTAGTGTCCAAGTTTATTTGATATGAATTTATGCAGAATATGTGGATTTGTAGTTTGTTTATTTTTATTTAAAGATCATAAATCTTTGTTATACTTCTTTGTTCTTCCAAACTGTCTACATTGGGCCCACATTACAGAAGCAGAAAAATAAATTACTATAATTTTTTTTACCTTGCCTCTTCCTCAAGCTATTTCATCTCTCCTTCCCTGTTGAAAAAGGAGCCAACACATATTACTTTCACTTTTTCAGGGCCCACTCACTCTTTTTTACCTTTCTAATGAAACTATTTTTCAAAGGCCACCATTGCCCAATATAAGATTCAAAGGCTCTCTCTTGGACTTTATCTTTCTGGATCACATTTGTGACAATACTTAATACAGTGCCTAGTAAACAATCAATTCTTAATATATTTTAGTTTTGTTCCCAGAAGAATATTGATTAAATAAATATAAATACATAGTGTTTCTTTATCTGTGTTAAAGACTGCATCAATTGAAAACTTATGCAGGCCAGTTATATCTCGTTTACCTGTTGCTAATATACCGCAATAAATTTCAATGGTCTTTTTCACTCATATCCAGGGTATGGGGCCCAATATTTTAGAAATTCAACTCTTATTTGTTGTTCTTCATCACCATACTTAGTAATATAATTATCTAAAATATAAAATAAATAACTTTTGGGGATGTAATGTGACTGTAGTTAACAATATTGTATTGTATATTTGAAAGTTGCTAAGACAGTAGATCTTAAAAATTCTCATCACACAAAAAAATTGTAACTGTGAGTAATGGATGTTAACTAAACTTATTGTGGTGATCATTTCATAGTATATACATATATCAAATCATTATGTTGGACACCTAAAACTAATACAGTGTTATATATAGGTCAATAAAACAGGAAAAGATATAGTTTCCTGGCAGGAAAATGACTAGATCAGCCATGATATAATCAGTGGGATACCTGCCCTAGCTCTGTAAGAAACCAAGCTGGCAGCCAAATGAAACTCAGAGAAGGGGGATACGAGAAACTGTTAACTGAATTAAGGTGCCTCCAGATCACAAGCCATTGGCCTCATCTTTTATTCTCCACTCTCCTCCCAAGTGTATTGTCTGGAATGGCTTCTGGTGAGAGAACCTGCATCTGTTCCCTCATTTTGGATTCCCCATTCTTGACCACAGCTCCTTTCCCCAGCGCAGCAACCTGGATGGCTGTTTCTGGCTTCCCTCACTGGCAACCCTCTGGCAGTCCCACCTAACTGCTGTCAGGGCTGAAAGGGGATCAAAATTGTTAAACCCCGGGCAGGAAAACGTCTCAGCTCTGTTTATCTGAATTTAGGCTGATGGGAATGAAACCAACCAACATTTATTAAATGCCTACTGTACGCTAGGAATTTTTTAAATAACAGCTTTATTGAGATGTAAATCACATACCATAAAATCCACCCTTCTAAAGTGTACAATTTGGTGGTTTTTACTATATTTGTAGAGTTGTGCAATCATTACCATTAACAAATTTTAGAACATTTTCATCACCCTGAAAGAAACCTGTACTCATTAGCATACACTCCCCATTATCCCCTCCCCTGCCCCTGGAAACCACTTATCTACTTTCTGTCTCTATGAGTTTGCCTATTCTGCACATTTTATATAAATGAAAAAATATATAGTCTTTTATGTCTGGCTTGTTTAACTTAGCCTAATATCTCCAATGTGCATCCATGTTGTAGTGTGTAACAGCACTTCATTTATTTTTATGGTTGAGCCATATTCTATTGTAGGGATATATTTTTTTTATTGATTCATTAGTTGATGGGCAATTGGGTTGTTTATACTCTTTAGCTGTTATGAATAATGCTATAATGAACATCTGTGTACAAGTATTTCCGTGGACATAAGTTTTCAGTTTTCAGTACATACCTAGGAATGAAAATACTGGATTATATGATAACTCTATGTTTAACTTTTGAGGAAATGCCAAACTGTTTTCCAGAGGGGCTGCACCATTTTATATATATATATTTTCCCAACAGTGTATGAAGATTCCAATTTCTTCATATCCTTGCCAATACTTGTTATTATTCATTTTTTAAATTATAGCCATCCTATTGGGTGTGAAATGGTATTTTATTGTGGTTTTGATTTGCATTTGCTAAGGACTAATGATGCTGAACATCTTTTCATGTGCTTATCTACCATTTGTTTGTCTTCTTTGGAGAAATGTCCATTCAAATCCATTGCCCATTCTTTTTTTTTTTTTTTAACTGAGCCATCCTGCCATCCATTGGCAGCTCAGCGGCAGCTCAGCTCAGGCCGGGAATCGAACCGCTGTTGCTCAGAGCTCAAACTCTCGAATAAGCTCTTAACCAACTGAGCCACTCGGCCGGCCCATTGCCCATTCTTTACTTAGATGAGTTGTCTTTTTATTGTTGAGTTGTAAGAGTTTTTTTTATATATTCTGGATATTAGACCTTTCTCAGATTCATGATTTGCAAAGAGTTTCTCCCATTCTGTAGGTTGTCTTTTTTTCCCCCACATCCCATGACTATATATATATATATATATATATATATATATATATATAAAATTATAGTTGACATATAATATTATTCAATGGCAGCTTTAGATGTACAGTGCAGTGGTCAGGCCTCTACACCGTCCATGAAGTGGTCTCCCTAACAAGACATGAGTCCATCTGGCCCCCTAAAAAATATTTACAACATTATTGATTATATTCCCCAAACTGTCTAATTCGAAAAAATATATGCACCCCTATGTTCATTGCAGCGCTATTTATAATAGCTAAGACTTGGAAACAATCAAAATGGCCATCGGTAGACGACTGGATTAAGAAACTGTGGTACATTTATTCAATGGAGTATTACTCAGCCATAAAGAAGAATGAAATCTTACCATTAGCAATGATACAGATGGACCTAGAGAACATTATGCTAAATGAAATAAGTCAGACGGAGAAAGACAAATACCATATGATCTCACTTATATGTGGAATCTAAAGAACTGAATAACAAGCAATGTAAACAGAAATAGTCTCAGAGACACAGAAGAAAAACTGATGATTGCTAGATGGGAGGGGGTGGGGATTAGGGAGAAGGGGAAGGGATGAGACAACATAAATTGGTAGCTGTAGGTTGTCTTTTCACAGTTCTTGATGGTGTCCTTTGAAGCACAAACGTTTTTCATTTTGGTGATATCCAGTTTATCTTTTTTTTCCTTTTGTTTGTGCTTTTGGTATCATATCCAAGAAGCCATTGCTTAACCCAAGGTCATGAAGATTTACGTTTATGCTTTCTTCTAAGTTTTAGCTCTTACACTGAGACCTTACATATCCATTTTGAATTAGTTTTTGTGTATTGTGTGAGGTAGGGATCCAACTTTATTTTTTTGCATGTGGATATCCAGTGGTTCAGAAACCATTTGTTGAAATGATTATTCTGTCTCATTGAATTATACTGAATCCTTGTAAAAAATATACTGTCCATAAATAGAAGGGTTCCCCTCCCCCCATCCTGACTCCTAATTGTATATTATGAATCTATATGTCTATCCTTATGTCACCACTACATTGTCTTGATTCGTGTTGTATAGTAAGTTTTGAAATTTGAAAATGTGAGTCATTCAACTTTGTTCTTTTTCAAGATTGTTTTAGTTATTCATAATCTTTGTATTTTTATTTTAGGATCAGCTTGTCAATTTCTGCAGAAAACTAGGTGGGATTTTGCTAGCAATTGTGTTGAATTTGTAGAGCACTTTGGTGAGTATTGCCATTTTAACAGTATTGTCTTCTGATCCATAAATGTGGATGTCTCTCCATTTATTTAGGCCTTTTTAAATTTCATTTAATAGTGTTTTATAATTTTCATTGTACATGTCTTGCTCAGTTGTTAAATTTATCCGAAGTATTTTATTCTTTTTGATCGTATTGTAAATGGAATTGTTTTCTTGATTTCAATTTCACATTGTTCATTGCTAGTATATAGAAATATAATTGATCTTGTGTTCTGCAACTTTGCTGAATTCTTTTCTTAGTATTAATAGTATATTGTGTGGATTCCCTAGTATTTTCTATGCACAAGTTCATATTATCTGAAAATAAAGATAGTTTTACTTCTTCTTTTCCAATCCGAATGCCTTTAATTTCTCTGTCTTGACTACTTGCCCTGGCTAAAACCTCCAGTACAGTATTGAAGTCAAGTGGCTAGAGCAGGCATCATATTCTGGTTTCTGATGTTAGGAGGAAAGGATTCAGCCTTTCACCATTAAGTATGATGTTAGCTGTGGGTTTTTAAAAGGTAACCTTCATCAGGTTGAGAAAATTCCCTTCTATTCCTAATTTATTGAGGACTTTTATTAAGAAAAGGTATTGAAATTTGTTAAATTTTTTTCTGTGTCTATTAAGACCATGTGGTTTTGGCTCTTTATTGTTAATTAATTTTGTCCAAGAACTGCAAGATAAACAAAAGCTTTATTTGGGTTTTTTTGTTTGTTTTTGTTTTTTTAGGAATTGCAACTTGGAAACACAAATTTGGGTAGAAACCCCAAACTGTGTTTTTGATGGGGGAAAAAAGGGACAGAGTTAGTAAAGACAGAAAAAGAGAGTCTTCCAAAGAGTTTACACACTTGCTTTGAAAGAACTGTGATTGGTGCTTTTAAGCAGACTTACACTATACAATACATGATTAATCACTTATGTCTACTTCTAGGTAAGAATTTATTTTTTAATAGAGAGTTCAGTGATGCAGAGCCAGTTTCAGGAACTGTATGGGGATGTAACCATTGTGGGTTAGCCCAGTTCAAAAGTTCAGTTTTATATGGAGGGCATATGCATTAGCTCAGCTTCCTGGAGGCCTCCCAGCTCCATTATAGATTGCTCTCTTGACAATATCAACTCCATTTTGCTGTTTTTCTTTCACACCATTGATACTACATTAATTCATTTTTTAATGTTAATCTGACGTTGAATTCTTAGGGTAAATCCCACTTGGTTGTAGTGAATAATCCTTTTACTATTGGGTTGTCGGAAAAGTCATGACATATGTTTTCTATTTTTTTGTTGCAAAAATGTGTCATGACTTTTCTGACAACTCAATATATTGCTGAATTTGGTTTGCTAGTATTTTGTTAAGGATTTTAATATCTGTATTTATAAGGAATATTGTTCTGTAGTCTTCTTCTCTTGTCGTGTCTTTTGTTTTGATATAAGGGTAATATTGGCCTTCTAGAATGAGTTAGAAAGTGTTCCCTCCTCTTCTATTTTTATGGAAGAGTTTGAAAAGAATGGGTGTTAATTCTTCTTTAAAAATTGAATTGAATTCATTGGTGAAACATCTGGGCCTGCACTTTTTAAACAATTTCTAATTTAGTATCTTTACATATGGCTTTATTCAGATTTTCTATTTCTTCTTGAGCAAGTTTGGTAGTTTGTCTTTCTAGGAATGTGTTTATTTCAAATTTGTTGGCAAACAATTATTCATTCCCTTATAGTCCTTTTGATTTTGGTAAGATAATAAATATCCCTTCTTCATTCCTAATATTAGCAATTTGAATCTTCTCTCTTTTTCTTTATTAGTCTTGCTAAAAATTGTCAATTTTATTGATCTTTTCAAAAAAGTAATTTTTAGTTTTGTTGATTTTCTCTACTGTTTTTCTGTTTTCCATTTCACTTATTTTCACTCTAGTGTTTATTATTTTCTTCTTTATGCTTGCTTTGGATTTTGTTTATTCTTCTGTTTGTAGTTTATTAATGCAAAAGTTTCAGCTGTTAATTTGACATCTTTCTTCTCTTTCCATATAGTGCTTACAAACTATAAATTTTTCTCTAAGCCTATATTTAGTTGTGTCCCAGAGGCTTTTAGTATGTTGTGTTTTCATTTTCATTCATCTCAGAGTATTTTCTAATTTTCCTTGTGATATAATTTAGGAGTGTGCTTTCCAATTTCTACATAACTGAGAATTTTCCAAATTTCCTTCTATTATTGATTTCTAATTTTATTCCAGTTTTGTTGGAGAACATACTTTGTATGATTCCAACCCTTTTTTGAGGCTTGTTTTATGGCCTAATACATGATCTTTCCTTGAGAATCATTCATGCACATTGGAGAAGAATGTGTACTCTGTTTTTTTTTTCATAGTTACCGTGTGTGTGTGTGTGTGTGTGTGTGTGTGTGTGTGTGTGT